GTGCTATTTGATAGATGCATTTGTCTAGGTACATGCGCCGCATGTAAACAAGTTCCATCAACGAGGCTCTTAGCTCTACCACGTGCCTAATCTTCGCTTAACCTTTGAAAACGTTCACCAACACGCCTTTTTCGCCACAATAACATGATTCGAGACAATCCCCCACGAACATTTCGGTCGTAGGAATGTTCGGCTTTGATCCGGTAAATATAATGCACTTGACTACCGCGCACCTTATTCGCAAAGTACTATATCGTAAGCTTTGCAAATCCTCTTGCTTCATCCCTATTCAACGTATGGAGGGTCATTTTCTACCCCTGCAGTTCAAATTGCACATGCAGCAAGAAGATTTTAGCAAACTAGATTCTTTCAGGAATAGTCTAAAACTTGAGATCTCCAATTAACTCCGTTATCCGAGAAACCAAGTTTATTCGAAATTTCTGAAGAACAGTGCTTTTAGAATAAATAGGGAATTCAGCAAAAGGGGCGAAATTTGGTTGTGGATATGAGAATAAATTACTTCACTCCTAGTTAAATTATTATTCCTTAGTAGATTAATTGCCAGCATCTTTATATTAAGCATTGGTTGACATGTTTCAGCCCGAATATACATTAACAATTCCGGGCTTTTCCTATGGACCTTAAGTATACTGATGTACACCGTGAACACAAATTAAATTTAAACAAAATTGAAAGGCTGAACTTTAAAAACCGGTTCTCTGTATTACCTTCGTTTCATCTTGTGACAACTCCCTTTTAAAATATGACATTACAAATATGCTCATAGTTAAATAGCCGTTGCAAGTATTATAAAAGTCGCTTAAGCTGACGCAAGTAGCGTAGTCAGTTCCGGGTAGCAGTATAAAATGAATGTATGTCCACCTAAAAACTTCTGACTAAGAGCATCAATATACTCAACGAGAAAAGTTAGCTTTGACAACTCTGGGAGTTTCCGTTTACTGGAGGCTAAAATTTTTCAAATCCACTTGCTGCATCCGTATTCAACGTGTCGAGGGTCAACAGCAAGCCCCGCTAAACTTATCAGAGGGTACATATTTGCTCGTGAAGTTCACACTGCATATTCAGCAAGCGTAATTTAGTGAACAGTATTCTTTCAGGATTATTTTAAAGCTTAAGATCGCCATCATACTATGCTATCCCAGAAAGCAAGTACATTCTTAATTTCTGAAAAGCATTGCTTTTAGAATAAATGGGGATTCAGTAGAAGAGGGGAAAGTTTTCTGTGTATAATATATGTAAAATTATACGGCAATAAACTAATCCACTCATAATGAAATTCTGATTCCTAGGTAGAGCAGTTAAAATGGAAGTCAGGTGTTTTAAACTACAATCGTTTGGGCCCGAATTTGTAAGCAAACTACGTTTATAATCGCCATAGACTACTTACTAGTCCAACATTCAAAAAGCACTTTCATGGGGAACTTCGCTTAATCCCCTCATCTAGCCTATCTGAGTTCAGAGACCATGCAAAGGGAGTTTATCTCCAAAGGATCTTTCCCTTCAGAACATTTTCTTGCCCCTAAACGAAGGGCAAAAAGGCTTTACTAAGCATCCAAATAAAGTCTATAAAAAGGCAGTGGCATTAAGGACAAAACAGCTAACTTCTCCGGGCGCAATAAAAGCAAAACCTGATTTTAATGCAGGACTCACTAAGCCACACTTGATCTCAGGCGGAAAATATCGAATATTTCCACTTGAATAAGTTTTCCATCGGACAGCTGAGTAAAGCATTCGGCCGTGGTTGATCTTGCGTCCGATGCTATCTGGAAAACCAAAAGTTAACAGGTAATTACACCTTGGTGAATTCATACTCACAGAGCTGGTAAGGGACTCACTTGTGCAGTACTGTCTTGGGGCTCACTCCCGAGCTTTAACAATAGCCGCAAAATGGTTATTATTATTATAGGCAGAAGGACATTACTAGCAAACATATGGGGTCAATTAGGGCTGGCTGATGATGCTTAATGGGCCAGAAATGGCCATTCCAATGTCCCTAGTCTTTGCTGATTATGATTTTCTACTCATAGGGACATCCAGCCCGTTCGGACGGAACAAATTCTTTCTCGTTTTAAGATTTTTGATCAATAAGCTTTATTTTCGTTACTCAAACTACAAAGCAAGTAATTTTTAAGACTCCAGGCAGGACTGGCCTAGTTCCTCATATTTATTTGCAGTAGCCGGGAGTTTCGGAATAAGCAATCATATATTACAACTAGAAGGAAACTTAAACTTCCAATTCCAGACGGCTCTATTGTTGGTACTGCATTTATTACTGTCTGTCGCTAAACAGTCCTCTGAAAGAATTCCAGGGCAAAATGGATTGAGCACGTTGCGTGTGATAAACGCATCGGCAAGTCGCCACGCCCATTTGATTATAAACAGAAAATGCTGGCATTCAGATAAATCAGTGTGTTTTATGTCGTGGCTTATACCTATTTATCTAAGTATTCTTGCAGTAGATGTCCTATTGTGTGATTTCTATTATTGCTTTGTCTGAAAACCAAAAGGCATTAGAAGCAGCACGATATCTTCCTTTATTATTTAAGATCATTTAAATATTTGGTACGCTGTTCGCTTTCACTTAATGGCGCCGTACTGTAAACTGGAAAGTAGAATAAGATGATATTACACTTTTTGTGATATTAATACACCGATATAACTACTCTTTAATATTTTAAACTAGCAGAACATAAATGCTCAGTTCCATGTATTACTTTTAAATTTTAGATCTCTGAAGAAACATTGGTAAAGTGTCACCTGGACGTTGACTATACTCATATTCCCGTGCTGTCACGCATAATTTATGGAAGCGATTTGAATTCCTGGCTACAAGATGAGGTCGCAAGTCTAGTAAAAGAAAGCGCCGAATCCAAAAGCCGGTCGGGATGGACTGCCCTCTCGAAAGAAGCCCTAAAATCCTATACCAATGAGTTAGTTTTCTATTGTATTCCGTATCTTCTTTTAAACGCTTTCAATAGATGCCACTATGTTTTAGCAATAATTTACTGCCTCGACGATAACTTACAATAAAAAAACAAGAATGTAGTAAACTCCAGATACGAGGGCATTTTGTGTGTGATATCTGCTGCAAAACCTGTAACCAAACAGAGTTCTAAAAGGGCTGTTGTCAAGTTGCTTAACAACCCACCGCTATTTGTTAAAACAAATAATCTGACCATATCAGGATAATCTTTTGCTTGGCGGAAAACAAGGAAATAGAACATGATAGCATGCAACAAAGATCCTAGGGAATTTTTTTCATGAAAACCTACCTTCGCCCAACATTTCCAAGTGTAATAGTCAGGTTTCAGATGGGTTTTAGACTGCTGTTTTAAAAGTATTGTTTAACTGGATAAACCGTTTCCGCAAAATATACATCAATCAGATGATCTCGGGTATTTGTCGACTGACATCTTCACAGAAAATGACCATACTTGTATTAAATCACCCTTTGCAGAGAATTTATATGTCTGAAATCCTATCTTCTTACATGCGATACTTGAAGAGGAATCTAACTACTCAAATGTCAGTACGCAAACAGTTTCAACCAACATAAGTCGTTGATGTGTAACAGCCTGCGGTTTATTTCTTAAAATGATAATCAGAGTCGCTTCCAAATAAATTGCCTAGCTTTTTATGTGCACCTTATTACTATTTTTATCTCTTGCCTAAAAGAAAGTATTTCCGTTTAATGTGCTACATTTGAAGGTTGATATACCTTATTACAAGAACTGAATTCATACAAAGTGATGGGCTTGCAGTCCTCAAGCAAGTTTCCTTCATCAAATAAATTGAAAAGTAAATGGTGTATCTATCAAAGCCGTTTCATAACTTCTAGCTCAAGCCATAATCTTAGTATATTTCATTTGAACAGTCTTGCAGTATCCAACATATCACTTTCGAAACTAAAAAAAATTTAGACAGTAAAAGTCCCTTCCCGTCGACATCGATTAGCTGCTTTTCATCTCCGATTTAATATTTATCCACTTTTATCAGAAATAAGCCCAAAACTTAACAAAATAATGTAGTATTATTTTGCAAAGATTTGTTAAGTAAAAGTCTTATTTACCCTTCAACAATGCAGTTCCGGTGCTGGCGAGGAACTCGCGGGCTTCCAAATTGCCTTCAAGTTGCCTGCAAAGAGACAGGGCGTGATGGGGGCAGACAGGTTTCTGCGGACCTGGCGATGTTCCCTGGTGATTTCAGGTGTGGGTGTTTCCGAAGTGTTCGACAGATTTTGGAATCATAGGTAAGAAGTTATCATAAATAGCTGATCGTGGGTTTCAAATTCTGTGGGTTTTTTTGCTTGTATTTGCAATGGTGCTATTATCACGAAAAATCACAAGAAGATTCTTGAAAAGAATTGCGCCGAAAACTGCATACTTATGAGACTACGAATTTAGCTTAACTTTTATTGCCATAGTGGACTCTTGTCTGATAAATTCGACTGGCCCAAGTTTGGCGGCCTCAGTGCTTTTCGAACCCACTTCAGCAACGGAAGGCTTGCGTACAGCCAACGCGCGAGCCGATTGAGCTATCTAGGTCCTACTGCAGCCGTGAATTTCATCACATTTGGTTCAATTTATTCGCCCAGTCTACTGCTACGTCTATGGAGTCCACAAGACTGATACAGAAAGCTGACTGCCCAAGCAGAATTTTCTAAGCAATCAAGCCAGAATCCATCACATGACTACTAGATGATCAGGCGGGGGATATTAACGATAAAGGCGCAAAACTTTAACTACTTTCCACTGCAGATTCTCTTTATAATGCAACTCTAGCATAAAATGGGCATAATGATTGGGTGTATTCTGTACCACCTCCAAGAGGAGTAACTTTATGTGCAGATTATAGTAAAGTATATACGCATGGAAACTGAGATCCAGAAGAGCTCCTCAGACGTATGGTTGCATACGAGTTATTATTATTCTTGAGTTTAATAAAAATTGTAAGTTAGCAAAATCTCGTATACTGAACGGTCTTATAAAATAGGGCCATCCTTTTTTAAATTACCTCTTTCAATTCTACTCATTTTTAAAAGTCTACTAGGCAAATCTGAGTTTTCAGCACTTCATCATCGGGCCCTTAAAACTGCACTGATAATGAGAATAGGAGAGTTTGGTGGGGTTTATAATTGCCTCGTCGTCCTCACACCTCGTGCAAGGCGAGCCCGGCATGGAGAGGTCATTTAAATGAGGAGGGGAACATGAAATTGTTTTTGAGTACTAGTCATGGATCGAGTACGTGGAGCGAAAATCACTGTCACATGCACGGGTGAAACAACTATCACTAGGGGTTCGATGTAAAATTCGATTGTCATCTGCGGTCGGCCTCGACTACGGACAGAAAAGCGTCTGTATTAGCGTCTTCTGACAGTATAACTCAAACCGAAATCGATCTAGTCTCACTTGCACTCAGTCAGGCGGGTATCTGTTCATGCACACCTGTTCTCCAGTTGTCTGTTTCTTTGACCAATGCAGCCTGTTCCACAGGAGTAGTTTCCGATACAGTACCAAGTTTCCTGAAATATCTCGAAAACATAAATACTTAAGGATTCTTCTTTCGAGTATGACAGTGCATTGGATAAATTAAATCAGATTCTTGGACGGATAACTTGTCAATTTCGCCATATTTTAAGAAGCTATCTACTGTTCTATTTATTTCCATCTGCAGTATGGTTGTCTAGTCATAATTTTCCACAAGGTTATCGGAGATTACGAAAGTAGATTATCAAAGGAGAAAAGTACGTGCAAATGGTAAAATAAGCAATTATTAGGCTCCTCCCTACGCCACAAACCGCACAGAACTGTGCATCCAGTTCTTACTTTTTGACATGGGTACTGGTGAATGGAGGTCTCCGGTTTGTTAGAGACGCCATATCTCAGCTAGTTAACCGAATGTTATACTCCATAAAGGTGCTAAATTTACGTTTCAAAATGGCGTTGCTTTTAGTTAGCAAAGAGTTCTCGATGCGGGTGCTTAACCAGTTAACATGGAATCCCTAGTCTTATTGCAGAAACCGCATGTTCGAGAATGGTTGACCAATGACCGTCCTTTATCATCCCATTTCTCCGAATGAAACTTCGTAATTATTGGATTTCTCGTTGTGTGGCTATATGAAGGACTATTTTCCCTACTTGCAAAAAAAAGGCCCGTTCTGTCGTATACACGCTAGGTTACGGTTGAGCGCTAATTTTCTCTGGCTGTGCGTATTCTTGACATAACCTAACAGAACTTAAAGTTGCGGTTCGCATAGCAGACGTTTTTGTTTTAAAAAATGGTCATGACAAATTGACGTAGGTCTAACGCTCTGACAGTCTCCTGAGGTTTGTGTACCGTCAACTGCTGAGAGCACATAAACCATATACTTTCATTCCAGTTTCTCTATTCTGAAGGCATTTCTTAAGTGAAAACCACCAGACGTATATATGCTTATGAATTAGTTAGAGGCAGAAGGACGATAACGAAACAATGCATAACCAAGGAGATAATTCCAATTTTTCGAATCACAGAGAATTATCTGAAGTAAATCATTGATAAATTTGGGCTACCACAGTAAGGTAAAAACTGGACTGGTGTTTTGGCTTTTCCATTTTCTTTTTATTCAGTATGAATGCATACTGACGTTTTTATTACAAATTTTCAACACTAGGTCGAAACCGGAACTATTTTAGATTTCAGCACATAACACAGCTTGCTGTTCAACGTTGATATTATATAAATAACCCGAATATAAACTTAAAGAATTCAAGTCTCCATCTTGAAAGGAACCTTTATTTTTTCTCATTTTATCTTCTATGGGCGAGTAAATGCAAGTTGACAACTCAGAAGAAAAGAATGCGATCACCGGAAGAATACTTTTATTAGCCTGACTTTTTTGGATCTTCACTCTAAACCACTCTCTAAACAGTTGCAGTTTACATCTGATTAAAATAATTCTGTTTCTTCAAAAAGGCTATCATTTAATGTCTCAACTTACGGCCAATTGACTTGTTTAGTTTATATATTCTATACAATTCAGGAGGCAGTACTGAAAACGTCACTGTCTATCCCTAATACGGCGAAGCACTTGGACTGGTGGCATTGTTCTGCCTGCTAAAAATTGACTTGTGAAAAGTTCAGTTTAAGCCCATGGCATCAATAGTTTACGTAGTGCACTTCATTAATCCTTAGTCCCAGCATTATGTCCTACGAAAACGGTTATTATAGGGTTTTACGGATTGGGAATTACGATAGGCAGTGGAATATACTCTAACAACCGCTATATACATTTCATTTTATTTTAATTAGAAATTTTGTTGATTTATATTTGTAGCTTTTCCTAATCTGCATTATCGTTTAACGTATTGCCGTAAAAACCAATTATCAAATTGCCGGTTTCTTGAAATTCGTAAAAAAATGAAATGTTGATTGGAAGGTCGTTCACTTCAACTTACCTGAGGTCCAACATACCGTTGTGGAATTAGATTAGTAAAGTCTGCGGCACGAAGCGCCAGGCACATCTTCAGGTTACATGCGGAACAACTTACTCCTAGCGACCGTGGGAACAACTTCGACTAAATTATTTCACTATACGCTTACTTCTAAAAATTTCCTTCTCTCCCTATCCTATTTCTCCACTTGCAAAAACCCTATAACTACCCTTTCCGTAGGACAAAATTCTGAGACTAGTGGTATGTGAGGTGCGCTACATAAACTACTTTTTCCAAGCTCATTCCTCTGCTCTTGCGATGGCAGTTCTCCTTATGCACCGGTTTATTTAATTCTCGTTTGATAAACACTTTAATGACTGTCCTTCGTGACATCGCCAGAGATGTTTCCTAGCTACTTTCGAATTTGCGGACAAGATTTATCTCATGCAATTGCATGTAAATGTCTCTTTTGGTTTGTACAAAACACATATCAACTGCGTTGCAACATCTGACAAGTGACGAAATGACTTGATCAAAGTGCATTTTTTATCCAGCGTACTACGAGTTTCAGGAACATTAAGTTTATGTGGGTTATTTAATGTTTTTAAATAGACGTTGTCACCCCATGAGCCTTCTGTACACCATTTGTGCCATCTTTTCAGAGTCAACGTAGTTTATAATATAGACGGCCTTTATCTAAATTAAAGAGTCTTTTTACAGAATGGTGAGATAATAAGAATGCAGTTTAGAGTATACTCAGAAATCTATTTTTGGAAAGAAAAAGTCAGGCGACATTCCTTAAATAGGTAATGTTTCCCTTCAAAGCATAACAAGGCAGAGCAAACTCAGTGTCCCTTTAGTGAAATTTTGGGCGGGGCGACTCCTGCTCTACTCCGTTGCCTGTATACAAACTTCTCCTTAACCTTTTTCTGCATCCTTTTCATCAAAAAGTTCACCGTAAAACTATCATGACGGTGATTGTAGAGATATACAGCGAAGCTGTATCTTCTCATAACGATCCACTTACGAGATATTTGCACTGAGAGTACATTTGCTCTCTCTCCCCCCATAGAGCGTCCTGGGATGAAAATGTCCTGCGGGCAGGCGTGTTAGAGCAGCTTTCGGATTTCGTGCAGGTCCAGCGGCTTCTGTTTGATGAGAGGGCTCCCCAACCAGCCAGAGAGTGTCGTCTACTGCGAGGCAACGCTCGTGTTCCCAACAAGACCGGTGCTATAGCCATCGTTAGCCAGTCGGTAAATCACGGTAATGTGCTGCCCGAGGCGCCGCCTGAGTTGCTGCCTTCTGCTCATTTCTTCAAGGAACACGCGTT